ACATCCATTATATCCAGCCTTTCCATTAATTAACCTCATATCCGTATATCCAGCCTTTCATTCATTAACTTCACATCCGTATATCCAGCTCTCACTTAACCTCACATCCGTATACTGAGCCTTTCTTCAAACAGGGAAAGATATGAAAATGAACGAAAAGTATATCTTCGACCTTCACAATATAACAATCTTCGACCTTCACAATATAACAAACACAAACAAAACATGAACGTTGCGGCTATGGGCCTTCTTCAGCACACATAGATTAGACAATAGTACACAAATACACAATATCACTTATCTTCGTATCTCGTGGCAGCCAGGTCAATGTCAAGCCAAAAGTTTTCCATTAATTAATCTCACACCCGTATATCCAGCCATCCAGTAATTAACCTAACATCCGTATGTCCAGCCTTCCATTCCTTACACTCCGACAGGGGTGACCATTGGCAGCAGACGTTTGAACTTTGTGTGTTGAGAAGGATCATTGAGCTACGGACATCTGAACCATTGCTGTCATTCAGTAGGTCACTCGGTGGACAGACGTTTAAACCAGAGCAGCCATACAGTCGGAGTCTGGTCAAGGTTTGGAACATATATAGGACTTTCGGATGACAGACATTTCAGTTTTAGTTTGTTAGTTAGTAAGGTACTCGGCCAGCGGATTTCACTCATTTTCTAAATCAGCTTTTCATGTTCGTTACCACCCATGCACGGGTGGAGAAAAGGAGAGGGAGGGGGGAATGATGAGTGACAGCAGATTTCTGGGCACTGCATTTTCTGAGGACCACAAATTTCAAGATCCCCTGCCAGCTCGGTTTAGGCCGATAGAGGCAATTATTCACAGAGCTTGTGGCGTATGTTTAGTTAGCTGATCCGTAAAACCAACATAAAGCATCTAAGGAGTATCTTCCTATTATGCACAATAAAACAGCCGTAACTCTCCCTCACGCCTGTCACCGGAATCAGAGTCACATCCCTTTGGAATCTGTGTTATGTAGTTTTACTGTATATAACAGAAACAAACAAGATGGTAACCATGTTTCCAAGATTTATTGAACATTCACAATGGAGATGGAAATAGGGCTGTCTGACACTGAGTGGATATCAACAATCAATTCAACACAGAATGTGACCAAGATGCTAAATGAAATAAAAGACACAGAGATACAAACAATATTTTTCCAAGTCTTTATCAACAAAACCATTTCTGTCTCCCGTTGTAAGGATTATCTGTCTCTAGTCTAGGTTTGTTTTCATCCTCCCAGTGCGGACTTCCGGGGTCCAATGCGGGAGGAGGAAGTAAAGAATAGACCAACAGCCCCTTTACATTCTGTGATGTGATGGGCAGAATGGTATGGTTATCACAGCCTAGCTTTAAACCACATTTAAGGGCGAACATAGAATGACAAATTTTTATGCATTTTTTGTCGATAAAGACTGGTTATAATGTATGTCTGCTTGTATTCATGTGGTCGAATTCCATGCCTTTAGCTCCAGTCATGTTCTGTGTTGCCTTCATTTTGTTCCAAAGAGAAAGATGACCAGTTGTTCTTTAAGCATCCCTCTTACAACTACAGCCTTGATGTTCCTGCCCTATCCTTGTATGTTGAGTTTCATGAAGCATTTAAACAATGACCCCCCATTCTCACATTCCACACACATTTTCCTGACTAGAACTTCTGCATAGCACAGTGGTCATAGGTTCAAATCTCTGTCGAGGTAGATTATTTGATATGATGTCCCACTTGTATTGTCACCTACCTCCTAAAGAATGTTTATTTCTAAAAGTGGCATGACTTTGAATGTGGCCAAACAATTTCACTTAAATGTCATGAACTCTTATTTCACTGCCAGTCTCTAAAACCTCTGTTTCAGATTGTTTTTTTATTCTAAAAAATATGACCTACTCTTCTGTACATCAACAGCTTATGACACTCAAATCCTTAACTCTTTCAATCCCAGTGGGTTCTCACAGTAAATGAATGACCACTATGAAAAGTCACAAATGCATAAATTCAAACAGGCAAATTAATCAGTGTGAGCAGCCAATATGGAAGCCAGATTTTTTTGATGTGCTGTGACTAAGAGTAAACTGGGGGTGAACACATTATGTGATTGCTGCGATTTATGTGGAAAAGTCTATTACACGTTGCAAGGGATTGAAAGAGTTCAGATAACAAATGAAGAGATTCTATTTTTCTGACGCAAGATGTTTCAAAAATTTATTTCACTGATAACAGTTTCGACGTTAAAGACATTCAAAATGTTAAAACAATCAGATCAATGTGGAGCAAAGCAGCGCTGGTGACAGCCATAGTTCTTGCCAGGGTTGCTCTGAAGACAGCATGGAACTCTAATAGGGCCGACACATTTCAGGAAGCTGCAATAGGAGGAGATCGACAACACAAGAAGGACATAAATGATGATGAGATCTCAAGGCAGATGACAGAATACAATTTCTTTGGAAGGAAACACCAACAATGAAATATAAGGATTGCAGCCCCAATTAGAAAAAGCAAAGTCATACCCACAAGACAGGAAGATGGACTTGAAAAGTAGAACCCTCCTCTGGACCACAGGACCACAATGGGGATGGACATGTCAAGTACGAAAACAGCACTCACTGCTGGAGAAAAAAGCTGCAACTCAAGGCACAAGATACCAATGAACTTGTAATAAATAAAACCATGTCACAGTTATAACCGAAGCTGTTTTCAGGGTCAATTTCTTTGGGTTTTTCTCAAACAAGCAGGCAAGCATCTCTAGAACCTGAAAACAAGTTACTACTTGCTAGTTCCTTGTCCAGGTCTCCGTGCCGTACAGTAACGCTGATGTGTATGCATAATATTTGATATTTCTCATGTTTAATATGATGTTTGTCCCTCTTCTGTTTTTATGCCAAAATTATGCTACCAGTTTTGAAGTGGAAAATCGTTAACAACAATGAAATGATGTCTTGGGAGAGCTGCCAAAGTAACAAGAAGATATAGTTAAAAATTGAAGAAATTAGAGGAAGGCCTGAAATGATTGTATAGTTTATTAAAGAGCAACTATGAGGGGGTCTGATCATCTGACCAACTGCTACAGAGAGCCATGCTGAAGAAATTATAATGAACACAGTGAAAGAGGAAGACAAAACAAAACATGGAATAACAGTATGAACAGCCTTAGAGAAATCACTACTAGTATACACAGCTAATTATAAAGCACAAGAGAAACAAATTACCTAAATTCTTAAATGAGGTAGCCGGGGTAAGAGAAGCAGTTTATATCTTCAGATGTGTAACAAAATAATTACTTAAAACAAAAATAACGAATGACCTGAAATTAGGTATTATAACACTTTTTCCTCTATTAACTTCTGCAGCTCCTAATGACAGCTTAGGTTCAAAAGAGGACAAAAATGGCAACAGAAAAACCATAAAAGTATTACATACAAGTAAGAAAAAAAAAATATTTTGCCAGATTTCTTTAGTGTGCTCTGACTAAACATAAATAGTACAATCGTATATGGCCTATTGAATGGTACACACAAAGGACAGCTTATCACATATGGTACACTCTCTGGGACACAAAACATACACTACTTATTAATAAATTATTGGCTGTCTCCACCATTAACAGTAGTTGCAACCAGGCTGATACTCCCTGTCTAGAGTCGTCAGTTAAGGGTCAAGTCTACCCGTTGATGTTGTCCACCTCCTTGTAACACTGTTTTCTAAGACATGATTCCCTTCAGCACATCCTTTAACTCATCATCATCATCATCAATAACCTCACAGGCTGGCATGGGCAATCATGCCTCTCCACAACCTGTGATCTCCAAAAAGCATGTATCGGTCCATTAGCTGACACCCTTACATGCACAGATAAAAGGCTGTCAAGAATCTTCTCATTTTGTCTTCCTTGATCTCTCTTTCCACCTTTCCACAAATCTAGGATCTCTCTTTCCACCTTTCCACAAATCTAGGATCTCTCTTTCCACAAATCTAGCTAACTCATATCTTTCAAAAAAAAAGGTCAAAACATGGTAAGTGGAGTTAATGTGTGAAGTATAAGCAGATATAACAAGGGCAGACTATGAGACGTGACCATATGTTCAATGCTAAACGTTCTGAAAATTACACAGCTTGCAAGTAATTATATAAATTGACTGTCCTTTCACTGAACTGACAGGGTAAAAGATATATAGGGAAATCTAACATTAATTGTAACCCACAGGAAAAGGATACAGAGGGAGATCTAAAAACAAACTGCATTAGAGACAGACTTATACAAGGAGGACATGAAGGAGCAGCAGAAGATGTGGTTTGAACAGTTGAGAGCCTGTGCTCCAATGGGAGATATAAAGCAGAAGATAAGACATTCATTTTACTAAAGGCTCTGTGTGTGTGCGTGTGGGGTGGAGCGACTGAGACCTAAAGCAATTGCCTACAACAAAAACATATTTCCAGACTGAACTGATGACGCCTTTAAAAGAAAAACAGATTTTCCAATATTTTTCAGCATATAAAAAGACGAGAAGGTCTGAAGATAATCATGGAGGGAAGTGTCTAAGGAAGGAGAGTAGAGAAAGATCACTGATTGACTTGCGACAACAATAGAGGCACGGACTCCTGGCTTATGTTAGAGAGACATTTAGAAGAATACCTGCTAGGGGGATGTACAAGATAGGCTGATGATGATGATGATAATGACATCACACATACAAAGAGTTAAAACAGGCTATCCCATGAACCTACATTATAAACAGATGAATGATTGTGCACAATTAAAGTCTCTTTTGAGGGAAGTTAACATCATTAACATTTGTATAGAGCGGTTAAAGGTCACATCTCCGTACTGTCATATGTAGAGAGTGGTTAAAGGAAATGTCACCGTTCCATATTGTCATATCTGTAGACTGGTTAAAAGAAACTTCATATCTCTATTTTGTCATAGTCCAGAAATCATGAGGAAAAACACATGTTATATCTGGGACACAGTTATGGCAGAGATTACTTGACTGTGGCAGAAATGGTAGAGCTGCACCAGGTGTACGCCAGCTGCCAATAAGTTTGGGTTCGAGTCAGAATCCATCGGAAAGTTTCCTGCACAGACTCTGTTGAGCTCCTGGGGAAGACACAATTTAAATATTTAACTGTATTATTTCTCAACCTAAAATAGGAAATCGGAGTAAGTTCCCCTGCTCTGTACAACCAGTTGATATTACTTCTTCTTCATTGTTCCGTAAATACATTATGCTAGTTTACAGCATAGCTGCGATAAAAATGTATGCCTTTCGGCCACCCATGTGACTTCTTCAGGACATTTTTTTAATCCAGGTTAGTCTTTCGGCCAACCATGTGACTTCTTCTGGATATTTTTTTATCCAGGTTAGTCTTTCGGCTACCCATCTGACTTCTTCAGGATATTTTTTTTTAAATCCAAGCCACCCATCTGACTTCTTCTGGACATTTTTTTCCCCAGGTTAGCCTTTCTGGTTAGTTTTAAAGTACATTTGAAGCCTCAAATGGGAAGTAACTTCATCATCCCCTGATCTACAGGCGATGTACCTAGAGGATCCATCACAGCAGCTGTGTGCAGATTTACTGACCCTCAAATGTAGGCAGGGGCAGAAGAGATCCATTCCCTGCCATCCAAGGAGACTTTGATAAACTCAATGCTGATACATGGTGCTCTAGTACTTGCCTTACCCAAAGCATCATCTGATGACCACTTCACCTCACGTCTATATATTGAGCCTTCCATTCATTACGGGCTGCATCCTTTAGGGAGAACCAGAAAGAGTCTGCAGGCCTGAGACTTTGGTTCCCTGCACAAATGGGCATCTCACTTCCTCAGCATGTTAGACTTCTCTGTTTAACAATGGCACCTTTCACATGGACGGACATTTGAACCTAAGCAGCCATACAGTAGGTGTCGCAGCCAACAGACGTTTGAAACAAACTTTGGCATGGAGTACGATTTTCAGAAAACAGATATCTGAATCCAAGTTTAGTATTTAGCAAAATACTGTGTTCCAAAAAATGGTGAAAATATGGGGGTGACTGCAGTCAAGTTAAAACACTGGATTTTAGTAAACTGTGACTAAAAAGCTTAATGAAAATGGGAAGCAGAAAAACACGCACAAAACAACACAAATAACGTTTTGGCTGGCAACCTTAGTCAAACATGAAGTGAACTACACAAAGTTAACAAAGAGGAGAGTATTCAGATCTCTAAGGGGTGACATGGATTTAATTAAATAAAATTAAACAAACAATGGCTTAAAAAAAAAAAGTTATCTTGTTAATATATGATAAAATAGTAGGAATAAAAGAAATACAATTCTAAATGATACATAAATGATACTAATTAGAGATAGAATAAAGTAATAATATGAAATAAAATTAAAATTTAAAATGTGATAATAGTAAAACTTTAGATGAAGGTATGTTGGATGTGGATGAGGTGATTTTCCAAAGCAAGGCACATGGTATGACAGCTGTGGTGCCATGCATGTCTTCCACTGATCCATACAGCTTAGTTTCCATTAGAATGCCAACTGGCCAGATCTGAGAGAGCTCTCTCCTGCATGTGGTAGCAATATTTCATTTTCTGTAGTGCTGGTCCATATTAGCAATGTTGTGAGTAACCACATCTTGATTTCTTGTACATATAAATGCAGAGTCTGTCGTGTCCCATTCCAAGTTTAAAAACACTGGTCTGTTGCTTTCCTACGAGGAGGCTCATCAGATCTTCAGCATTGGTTCTGAACAGGGAATTTTTCCAATGGGTTCTAATGGCCGCTTTGATCTGGGTTTTAATTTCCTCGCCAGCATCTCCTGTATCTGGCTGTTGTGTATAAAAGAGTACTTACTCTGAGATGTTGTCTTTCAGCCACTGGTAGGCTCCCAGTGCCAGGTGCACCGAATGTTTCCAGACCAACAGTAGATATTCTTGCACAACTTGCAACAACCAGACCAAACTACTGTAACACCACGCCCACGTTTCTGGCGACAATTCATAAGCCTGAAATAATAAAGACAATTTATTTACATTAAAACACATAAGAAGATATATCCAACATTAGATTCACAATCCTTTTTCTTTTGAATTCATAATCTTTTTTTCTTTTTTCTTCATCCTAGTGGTCACTTCTGTGGCCACCTGGTTAAGTCATTTGCCTGCGTCTCACTTAAAATGGTAATTGTGTGTTGTGGTTTACAGCTGGGCTGCAATATCTGTGCGTATTTGGATCCAACAAAACCAATTTCAGCAAAATTAAAATCAGCTGCTTTTCATGACATGCTTGTTAAGGGGGCAATGGGTGCCCCCTCCCCCCGAGCCTCAGGAAGCCACATCAGGAATTTTGAATTTTTGAATGTAATTTCAAATGATCTAGCCATGTAACAAGATTGGCATTAGACAGGGTACCACAGAGAGCAAAGTTATACAGATACAGCAGTAACAGATCCAGAGGTCAACCATGCAGAAGATGGACCGCAGAAATATCAGAGACACTAAAAAGTACTTTATACGAAGCGAACAGAAGGGCCTGTTTTAGAGATCTCTTCCTGCCCTGATGCTGCAAGGCGTTACAGGAGTAGAGAAAAGAGGAAGATGAAGAATGTAACTTCTGTACTGAGAGCTTGCTGAGACTCCCAAACAGACTTGTGTGAATGTCTGTTCCTAGAAACTGGAGGGTAGAAGAGGCAGGGGAAGACCAAGAGATAGAGGATGCTAGACTGTTTGGTATCATGGCATGTAAGAACATCTATATGAGCTGGTGGTTAACATATTGTGTTGCAGTTGATAAATAGCCTGTGATATCTACGGCTTTCAGCCCAACACATACAATTTCAGAATATCTTTCACAAGTCACCTTTTACGAAATCTATCCCCACCCCCAAATGTGGAACTTGGAGCTTTATAAGAACTTGCTCAAATGTTAATGAGGCCAACAAGAGAGGCAAACACATTAACAATGACATCTATCATGCATGCCATAAGAGATGGCTTAACAGAGTTGGCAAAGCACCGGATACCTCATTCCATTAAAGCAGAAGTATTAGGTGTCCCATAGGATTCCACATATAAGAAAAGAAACATATTATCATAGACAGAATGTCTTAGGAGGCCAATTTTAAAGCAGTTGACCCTGAAAATGAGAAACTTTCCTTTCCAGAGGAAGAATTAGATCCACACACAATAAATGTTCCTCCCCACAACGCTTAACGGCAGAAGTGGAAATTGATGATGACGAACATATCACCAACGTCATTACAAGCATAATTCCAGATGTGCTTATACGTGTCCTTCGTGTTTGTTAAAACAAAGGCAGTCACAAAGAGCATATTATTTCAATATCAATTGTTTTCATCAATGTTTATTTGTCCCATGTATGGAAACTTGGGACACTTTGTAGATGATGATACTGATGAAGACATGCTGTACCATCATGGGGAGAGACAGACTGTTGAGAATCAACTGTAACTTTCATTCTAAAAATCTGCGAAATGCACTTCTTTCTCATTCATTTTAATCACAAACAAATACAGATATGTGACAACTAATCGCTACAAACCCATTGGTAGAAATCTGCAGCTTTTGCTACGAGCCATGCCCTGTGCGGCCGTGTTGTGAGCTCGGCAGCTATCAGAAAATCAAGTAGGTTTTGCCAAACCAGCGACAAAAACGGTCCCACATTCTCTCTGATGTAGGCAGAGTATACTGGGAACTTTGCTTTCAGCCATCTGTGAACAAATGTTAAATTATTATGAAATTGTCCATTTAAAAATGTCCCCTTTGTATGATATTATCTGCTGAAATTGTTTTTTTAATTATGAAATTGCCCATAAAAAATGTGCCTTTTGTATGACATTATCTGAGAAAAAATGTTATATTATTATGAAATTATCTATTTAAAAATGTCCCGTTTGTACGACATTATCTGTGAAAAATTCCATTAAAAAAAAAATTTCCCCTTTGCACAACATTATCTGTTTTTTTTTTATTAATTTATCTTCCCCAGGCCCACTGTCCCCTGCTATGCAAAACAACTAACTGAGGGTCTATGGAAATCAGAGTTGTTGAGCTCAATGGTGCAGACAATGCAGCCCAGCTGTAAACCACAACATGCCAAGGATGAAAGCAGAAGAAGAAATATGAAATTCTCTACACACAAAAAATATTTGAGAATGAAATGATACTGGCATCATTTATCTGTGAGAGAAAAGTTTGCCTGATGCTACCGGTGTGTGGAGTCTTAGACTTTCAAACACTGTAGACCATGACACACTGAGATGGGATGTCCAGTTTCATTCCTTGCCAGCTTTCCATTGTCAGTTTCCAGCAACTTCTTCTTGGAGCCTGGCAGCCATGTTTATGACTCTGGACCATCCAAAAGCTGCACAAGTCAGAAAAAAACAATCTTGCCACAGATCAGGATAAAACCCACACCACCATCTTGCCAGGCAAACAAACTAACCATGAGGCCAGAGTGTCTGTAGAAAGGACATATCCTTCAATTCATCCATTTATGAAAAATAAAATGAAATTCGACCATGTTCAACCTACAGTGAACAGTATCGGTTTTAACCGTGGTCTGCTTTCTTTGTGCTAATTATGTTGGCTCAAAAATGTTAGTTGCACCAAGACTAGTGGCTTACACCGGTACTCCTGTTCCTAGTGAGGGTTGTTAGGGAGGAGGCTAGTACGCACTATACACAGCCACACACATATATAGACATATATGTATAATGACACACACATATATAGACATATATGTATAATGACACACACATATATAGACATATATGTATAATGACACACACATATATAGACATATATGTATAATGACACACATATATAGACATATATGTATAATGACACACACATATATAGACATATATGTATAATGACACACACATATATAGACATATATGTATAATGACACACACATATATAGACATATATGTATAATGACACACACATATATAGACATATATGTATAATGACACACACATATATAGACATATATGTATAATGACACACATATACACACACACAACAGACACACCTGCGCACACGCCCATGTTGGAATGCAGGTGTCTGTATACTATACACACACATGAATTTTTATATACACACATACACTTAATTAAAGGTACGCCATGGTGTAGTGGCCAGGTGCTTTTCTGTGGATCAGAAGGCCAGGTGTTCAGATCAGGATGGGGCCATATATATATATGTTTTTCGTTAAATAAATGACCCTAGCTCCCAGATCAACCCAGCCTTAAACAGGCACTGAGTTGTATATGATACTACCCACAGTTTCGCTCATTTTGTATTATTTGCACCTTGGTTACTAGTTTGGGTGTTTTAGTTTGTATATTGACACTTTCTCAATATCTAATACTATAAGTGAATAGTTAGGTGGTCTTGGCCAGTTAAGGTTGTTTCATTTATTTCCTTCTCTTTTATTATTTACCTCCCTTCTATTCATTTTTCTCACCTCACCTTCCCTATCATATTTGTATCTACAGTGAGTTATATATAATTTTACATGAAGGACATGACGAGGAAACAAGTAAATAATATGCACAGACAGTCCTCCCAGTAGGCCAGCTTTCAAAGAGATGTATGAAACAAGTATGGAGAAAAGTCACCTAGACATGATCAAATGGAAAGGTAGTATAGAAATTTCACAGACAGGATTGGTAAGGGACGGTTGGCTCCATTTGATCTACAGAAGACAAGGGAGAGAAAGCAGCAGCGGAAGAAGATAATGAAAGACACAGAAATATGTACAGCAAGGAAAGCAAATGAGTAGAAGGGTAGTAGGAAGGAAGGAGGACAAGAAAAAAGTGGAGAATGAAAGCTTACTATGTGGGTGCCAGGTCCCCATTGCTGGGAAAACCAAAACAGACCCACTGCCTCCTCCCCAACAAGCATGTCGCAGGAGTCGACTAATTAGTAGCTTTATTCGAAGTCAGAGTGCATCTGCCTGAGCGGCAAGCAACAACCACTGCGTCCTCCCCAACAAGCATGTCGCAGGAGTCGACTAATTAGTAGCTTTATTCGAAGTCAGAGTGCATCTGCCTGAGCGGCAAGCAACAACCACTGCGTACAAATAAGCCAGTGAAAACAGATGCCTACGCATAACTCAGTCCAAAAGGACAAACAGTGAGCGCATGCCACTGAAGCATGTAGCCAGTGAACAAAGAAGAACAAAAATAGAAGCAAAAATAAAGTAATTAGGGAAAGAAAGTTGAAAATTAAAAAAAAAAGAATATCCTGAAAGCAGAGCAGGAAAGTAAGAAATATGAATTAAACATAAAAAGAAGAAGGAAACAGAAAGACAGGAAGGAACTTACTCTGAAACCAGTGTCTGAAATGCAAGGACATACTTCCACACCTGCTCCAGAAATGCCAGGATACCGTAGTGCTCCAGGAAGCGGACAGCTCTTGAAGCTGTAATAAATCAAGCTGAAGTATTAACACAAAGAATAACATCAGAATAATACTGTATATGAAAATATCAAATTATTTATTCAATCTCTTTTTAACTTGCCAAGGTCATATATGGAAGGATAGCATCACTATTCTTTGTTTCCCTAGGTCAAAAAAATGGCAGGAACACACATGCTGAACAAATATAACAAACGCCAGCTTACAGACAAGGTTTACACTTCAAGCAGTGGTCTCTAAACTTTTTAAGGTTGCCCCCCCCCTCCCCTCCCCCCACCATGTATATAGCAGGACCTCCAGCAAAACAAAATGTGATTAAAAACAGGACACAAAGAGAACCCACAAGTACTGTTATTAAGTACTTGGGAAATAACATGAACAAAATTCAAAGTGTCAAATGACACACATTGAAAATCACCAGAAACTAGTAATTTAATGTCAAAAAATTATTATGATGGTTAACACTGTTTGCCATGGTGATATTTGCTTCTCTGGTTGGGGGGTGGGGGGGTCAGATGTTGGACAGGGCACTAAAGTGATCACTCTCCAAATCAAGCTGGCAGCGCCGTTTTGTTTTTATGACTGTTTAAGCTGAAAATCCTAATTATTATAGTACAAATGCACTCAATTTTAAAACTGCTCGACACCCCCCCCCCCCCCCCCAGGATGGAGACCAGTGATCCAAAGTGATGTCACAGACAACCGCAGATGCCAGCAAAAAAGGCCAACATAGCGGCCTACAGCGAAGGTCCGCACTTAATGTAATGTCATAGATGACAACAAATGCCTTAACAAAGACTAACTTTGTGACTTACAGCGAAGGTCCGCACTGAATGTAATGTCATAGATGACAACAAATGCCTTAACAAAGACTAACTTTGTGACTTACAGCGAAGGTCCGCACTTAATGTAATGTCATAGATGACAACAAATGCCTTGACAAAGACTAACTTTGTGACTTACAGCGAAGGTCCGCACTTAATGTAATGTCATAGATGACAACAAATGCCTTGACAAAGACTAACTTTGTGACTTACAGCGAAGGTCCGCACTTAAAGTAATGTCATAGATGACAACAAATGCCTTGACAAAGACTAACTTTGTGACTTACAGCGAAGGTCCGCACCTAATGTAATGTCATAGATGACAACAAATGCCTTGACAAAGACTAACTTTGTGACTTACAGCGAAGATCCGCACTTAATGTAATGTCATAGATGACAACAAATGCCTTGACAAAGACTAACTTTGTGACTTACAGCGAAGGTCCGCACTTAAAGTAATGTCATAGATGACAACAAATGCCTTGACAAAGACTAACTTTGTGACTTACAGCGAAGGTCCGCACCTAATGTAATGTCATAGATGACAACAAATGCCTTGACAAAGACTAACTTTGTGACTTACAGCGAAGGTCCGCACTTAACGTAATGTCATAGATGACAACAAATGCCTTAACAAAGACTAACTTTGTGACTTACAGCGAAGGTCCGCACTTAATGTGATGTCATAGACGACAACAGATGCCAGAATAAACACCAGCACAAACAGCAAGTGACCCCAAGGGAAGCTCCCTCTGGTCAGTTTTGTGGTCAGTTCCTACATGGAAGAAACATAAATAAATATAAAACTTCCCTATCTCTTTACAAAATTTCTGAAACAATGATTTAAAAAAAAAATTAAGTTGTGTTGATAAGCTTCTAGGTCTTCTTCTGTTACATTTTTATGTAGCCGTTTTGGTTTTATTTGTGCCATATGTAACAATCCTGTGTGTATTTACTGCACGTTGCTATTTGCACCCACCAGCCGATACAGATGGCTTCTTCCTAGCCCTAATTAATTATGTTATTTCTCATAATCTTAAATTTTTCAGAGCCATCTATTATTCTTTAACAACCTCTCTTTAATGCTTTGTTTTTTGGTTGCTAATTTTGATGAAGAAAACGGCGAGCCTGTTATGAATGTGAACAAGACAGAAGAGGCTGGTCAATCACTCCACAATTAAACAATCATTGATAGTCATTGAGGAATAGAGGACATGACATCAACAATATACATAGATTATACAGTATTTACTGTATATAATTATGAACAGAATCGGCAGTGTTTATTTAGTGGATGCTATTATTGTACAAGGAATAACTAAAGTTATAATTTTTTTGTTTAAAAAAAAATATAGAATAAAGACCTGGAATATATGTCTAGGTAGAATAACAGAAAATGAAGGAAGAATAATTGGCATCTCTGGTGTCGAAAAACTGGCTGTAGTCGATATTTTAAGTTACAACAAATAAATTTAGTAAATCTGGCAACTGACCTTGGTAGCGGCTTGGCACAGAGCCAGACCATCTCGGTTTCCTCGCTCCTGCGTTTCTAGTTCATCGTTGGTTACAGAAAAGGATCGAAGAGTTTCTTGGAGAAGCTTTTTATCAAACTTGGATGCAAGTTTGGGCCATTCATGACTGATATGCTCCAACAGAGCCCTGTGAGATACATAATTCAGTCGTTTCACAACAGCTGCTGGATAAACTAGTATATTGTCTGCTTTCTGCTTGTATAATTTCTTCCTCTTCTTCTTTGCTGTCACTGGCTAAACTCTGGCAGAAAGTTCTGGCTGTTCATCAGCTTATGCGCTTTAGTCTTATGATCTGTTTTCCCATATCAACACCCTAGCTAATTGGTCCAACCCACTTGTCTTCTGATGCAGCAGCAATCTTAATATCTCCATGCTCAACGTATCCAGTAGGAGTTGACTGGCATTTCTTTCTTCTTTTCTCTCTAAACTGGTTTCTGCATGCTTGTCCTAGTTTAATACCCATTTTCAACAGCCAGTTCACTGTCTCTGATTCCTTCGTGTCACCAAAGTCTCTAGAATGTAGCGCATTCAGTATGTCTGCCCTGCCCATACATCACCCTCCACCTACCACTGCAGACAGGGGCAGCCTGTCTGCTATTTCATTTACTTTCATCCCAATGTATCCCAGTGTGTACAGTCAAGATAGTTTCTTGAGGCAAAACTTCTGGTTATTGTTAACCCATTCCAGTTGGAGTCTGCTAGATGGATCATCTTATGTATGCACAGTGGGTCTGTCACTATCAATGCCTGAGTTGCTTTCTGCTCCACCAGCCAAGCAAGTACCCCTGTGACAGCTACTAGCTCTATCATCATACTAGATATAGTGGAACTGAATGCCTGATTCTTCTTTTACTGTCTTCCCGTTTACTTGTACTGTCTATGCCCACCCAGACCGCACCCCATGAATCACTGTAATTTAGTCTTGTTCGAGGACTTAAGCATTGCCAGCACATTTGTTTAACAGATGTGAATTGTGTGCAGACTGTTGGTTCCTCACCCCTCAGGCAAATGTGCTCTGTCTTTGATGGAGACATTGATCCAATCCAAGTTGGCCAGGCTTCCAGTTGGGAACCTGTTTATATTATAACAAAAGTCATGTGTGGATAGGTACTGGCCCAGCACCACCATGTGTGGATAGGTCCTGGTCTTTGGTCCTGGCCCAGCACCACCATGTGCGGATAGGTCCTGGCCCAGCACCACCATGTGTGGATAGGTCCTGACCTCTGGTCCTGGCCCAGCACCACCATGTGTGGATAGGTCCTGACCCAGCACCACCATGTGTGGATAGGTCCTGACCTCTGGTCCTGGCCCAGCACCACCATTTGTGGATAGGTCCTGACCTCTGGTCCTGGCCCAGCAGCACTATGTGTGGATAGGTCCTGACCTCTGGTCCTGGCTCAGCACCACCATGTGGGGTTAGGCTCCTCTGCATCCCCTTAGTTCAGTCAAGTAGACATAGTCATTACCAAATAGAAAGCAGTCTACCAAATAACAAACACATAAAAATTATTTACATATTCACTGACTGCGGGTGGGCCAGGCTAGAGACTACAACACTAGAGACCACCAATTTGGTTCTCATCACAAGGGTGAGCCGTTACTCATGTGCATGAAATAAGGTACGGAGTACCTGCTTGTACACATCACAACAGCCTTAGCTTTCTATCATGCCTGTAACTGATATCACTGCACAGACAAGCATATGACTACTGGCAGGATTAACCAGATATCTGTCTGACCAAATAGAACGTTTCATGAACCCACACAGGCCGGGAAGTCTATCCCACTGGAGAACCTGGTGAAACGTGCAAACCACTGGATGGCTGCAACGCCGGCAAGACTGGCCAAAAAGCTATGCAAGCTCACTGTCTGCTGGCCCACAGCTCATCTCGAAATCTTTGTCGGAACCACTGTAAAAATGTTCGCTCACTCACACGACGACTTTAGCAGCGAGCTGTGGACACATCCTCATTAGCGTTGTCCCTCTACATTTTGCTCTGGCTGGGAGATGCTCGCTAGTGGGATGCATAACTCGCAGGCTATCAGGACAGCAAATGTCAGTATTGGGACTGCACTGCAAGCTGTAGATGAGAGCAGCCACACGGCTCAATGGTAAGATCACTAGGCTTTCCTGCGAGAGACACGGGTTCAATCTTCAGTAAAGTAAAGGGGGTATTTTTGTTGGAGGAAAAAAAATATTCTAACCTGCAAAGTTCACGGCAACTGCACTAGCCAAGCAAACTGAAATCCCCAGGCCCAAAATTTTCTGCTCTAAACAGCGCTAAAAATAGACGACAAATTATATTTTTTTTTAAATGATGACATTAGGCGCTTACCAGGACGTCATTCATGGAGTGACAAATGGCTATAAAAATATGGGGCTGAGTTTGAAAAACATTTGTGCAAACAAAAGATAATGTACTCACCCAGAAGCTGCCAGGTGTTTTACATACAACTGATACCAGATGCTGAACGACTGCTTGTCGACGGTCAGACACTTCACCAGGCATTGTAGAACCTGCAGAATATACACAAGACATTTTTTTTAACAACTGTATTTTATTTAAAGTATAAATTAGCTTAGAGATTACATAACATTTCAACAATTTCACTTCCTGTACGCGTCCAGGGGCCGCCACTATGGAAAAAAGAAGAATAGGCGCACTGCCTCCCCAACGAGATTGTGGCAGGAGTTAAGTAACTGACGGCTTTCTTCACAGTTGGACTGCATCTGCCCGAGTGGTAAGGAAAAACAAACTGCACACAAATAAGCGAGCAAAATGGATATATATGCAAAACTCAGGCCCTGGCACAAAGTTCAAATGAACGAACAACCAGGACTATCCTCAGATGCTTACAGCCAGAGAACAAAAAAAATAAAAATTCCATGGCCAGTACAAGGGTTCAATTTCTACCATAGGCAGCTACATTTTTTTTTTAAATTACTTTCATGGCTGTCAAACAGTGGTACGAGAGTCATACCATGGAAGAGACTGGGACCCCATCATGTCATTTCCTAAAGATAGCAGTAAGTACACTGTAGCCAACCTTTACTGTGGATACGGCCACACTCAGTGAAGCACATATGACACATGATAGTGATGATCAAAAGAACATAGATCATCAGGGGACTGCGTAGTCTCAAGGCATGGCGCCGCCGCTGGAGGTCCGAGGTTCAAGCACGGTAAAGGCTGAGATTTTTTCACGTGGTAATTTATCCTGGTCCCTGGGTAGTCAGATGGGACGCCCGTGTGTATCCTTGCGCATGCTGAGATTCAACTTGCGCATCAATCACCCTGTGAGATTCTTTAGACTTAGGCTTGAGTCTGAGGTAGAACGGAGCACTTATGGGTTACTACCCTTGTGCCATGATGTTGATCTGTCATCTGAACCTATAGCTTAACATAGATCTTACCTCATTTTTCACTGCCTGGTTGGATGATGCACTGATTCGAGCCAGGTATGATGGGAAAAATGTTCGCAGATTTTGAGCTGGAGCTTGGCCATATGCCAGTTCCTATAAATAAAAGAGATTTATCAGCAAACTACATTTACTCTAACATGACATCCAGGTACATCAGGGAAATTAAAAGCAAAATGTTAAGAACCTTTTTTCCGAGAGGATTAACGGGTATATAACCCTGTATGAGTTTCCGGGTCCCATGGCGGGTGGGGGCAATAGAATACCCCCTCTACCGCATGTCGTACAAGACGACTAATTAGACACTTTTTCTTTAAAAGTCGGAGTGCATCTGCAAGGAGCCAACAGTCTGCATAAAAATAAGCCAGATCTGTCAAATGGATGCGCAAACAAACATTAAGTTCTGGAATAAGATTCAAGACCAGAAACAGACAAACAGACAAACAACCAGAACTTTCCGCCGGAGTTCACAGCTGGTTGTGAACTCAAACAAACAACAATGGGTGTATAGTGCAGGCCTCATTCATTTACACACGGTCCAACACTTGATGAGGTCAGTAACATTTACACACGGTCCAACACTTGATGTGGTCAGTAACATTTACACATCGTCCAACACTCGATGTGGTCAGTAACATTTACACACCATCTAACACTAGATGTGGCCAGTAACATTTACACACCGTCAAACACTTGATGTGGTCAGTAACATTTACACACCGTACAACACTAGATGTGGTCAGTAACATTTACACACCATCCAACACTAGATGTGGCCAGTAACATTTACACACCGTCTAACACTTGATGTGGTCAGTAACATTTACACACCGTCTAACACTTGATGTGGTCAGTAACATTTACACACCATCTAACACTCAATGTGGTCAGTAACATTTACACACCGTACAACACCCGATGTGGTCAGTAACATTTACACACCATCTAACACCCAATGTGGTCAGTAACATTTACACACCATACAACACTTGATGTGGTCAGTAACATTTACACACCATCTAACACCCGATGTGGTCAGTAACATTTACACACCGTACAACACTCAATGTGGTCAGTAACATTTACACACCGTACAACACTCAATGTGGTCAATAACATTTACACACTGCCTAACACTCGACGAGGTCAGTAACATTTACACACCGCACAACACTCAATGTGGCCAGCAACCTTTACACACCATCTAGCACCCAATGTGGTCAGTAACATTTACACACCATACAACACTTGATGTAGTCAGTAGCATTTACACACCGTCTAACACTCGGTGTGGCCAGTAACATTTACACACCAACACTTGATGTGGTCAGTTACCCAGTAACATTTAAACACCGTACAACACTTAATGTGGTCAGTAACATTTACACACCGTACAACACTTGATGTGGTCAGTAACATTTATACACTGTACAACACTCAATGTGGTCAGTAACATTTACACACTGTACAACACTCAATGTGGTCAGTAACATTTACACACTGTACAACACTCAATGTGGTCAGTAACATTTACACACCGTACAACACTCAATGTGGTCAGTAACATTTACACACCGTACAACACTCAATGTGGTCAGTAACATTTACACACCGTACAACACTCGATGTGGTCAACAACATTTACACACCGCACAACACTCAATGTGGTCAGCAACATTTACACACCGCACAACACCCGATGTGGTCAGTAACATTTACACACCGCACAACACCTGATGTGGTCAGTGACATTTACACACCGTACAACACCTGATGTGGTCAGTAACATATACACACCATCTAACACCCGATGTGGTCAGCAACATTTACACACCTTCTAACACCCGATGTGGTCAGCAACATTTACACACCTTCTAACACCCGATGTGGTCAGCAACATTTACACACCGTACAACACTCGATGTGGTCAGTAACATTTACACACTGTACAACACTCAATGTGGTCAGTAACATTTACACACCGTACAACACTCGATGTGATCAATAACATTTACACACCGTACAACACTCAATGGGGTCAGTGACATTTACACACCGCACAACACTCGATGTGGTCAGTAACATTTACACACCGTACAACACTTGATGTGGTCAATAACATTTACACACCGTACAACACTCGATGGGGTCAGTGACATTTACACACCGTACAACACCCGATGTGGTCAATAACATTCACACACCGTACAACACCCGATGGGGTCAGTGACATTTACACACCGCACAACACCCGATGGGGTCAGTGACATTTACACATCGTACAACACTCGATGTGGTCAGTAACATGCTAGCTGCCTTTACTGGGCATTTTTGATAGCCATTTTAGGGTGGTGATTTCCTCCCAGGTCACGGATGAGTCATCATGTTGTCCACTACTGACAGGTTACAAATATTGTGAAACCTCAGCTAAGAAAGATCATTTGTTCCGTAATCACACTGGTTAGTGGAATTTTTTTTTAGCTGACACATCATTCGCCTCATAATGCTGCTGCATTATGTCAGTGAATGCTGTCACTAAAACATCTGTGAGCCAAATCCAAATTTATTAGTCAAGGCCAAAAAATATCTTTGTCAGCAAAAAATATTAGCCGGGTCAGACCGTAGTCAAGGTATTACTGTAATAAGGGACTGATAACAACTAACAACAGACAGTCATTACTGTAATGAGGTACTGATAACGACAGAGGCATTACGAGAGTAAGCTTCACTGCACACTGGGCATTTCCACGTGTGCTCAGTTCTTCACTGCAGCAGCCACGCCAAGGTACCTCTTCTATTCAACAATAAACAGACTTATTTCCTATTTATGTACCTGTATCTGGAGAAACAACATTCACACAAGCTTCTCTAGAATCTGTGTACCTTGATCTGGGGATACAACAAGGTGAGCCGTTTCCTCAAATCTCCGGACAGATTAAAGCTGGGGTTGAAGACCACATCCAGGACCTGGAAGTACTCTCTCAGAGTGATGACCCCGTAAGCAGCGCCCACATCTTTATGGCTGCTGGAAGTCAAGTGACAAGACTAAGTCAAGTTATGTACCCTCATGGATATAAAGTGACAAGACAAAGTCAAGTTATGTATTTTCATGGATATAAAGTGACAAGACAAAGTCAAGTTATATACCCTCATGGATATAAAGTGACAAGACAAAGTCAAGTTATATACCCTCATGGATATAAAGTGACAAGACAAAGTCAAGTTATATACCCTCTTGTTTTTTTTCATCATTCTTCAGAGTAATGTAATTTATGTAGTGCCCGCCCGGCTCGCTAGCGTAGTTGGTTAAAGCTGACTTCATGGTGACTGGGTCACAAACTCCTTGTGGTCCGGGTTCACACCCAGGGGTAGGCAGAAAAGTCATATTTCTCCCAGATTTACAGTATCTATCATGGAATCAAGGCTGAAGGGCTGCGATATCCATAGTACCGAGCCAAAGGGTTAACAACTCATGGTTTCTGGATACTTTAGAAAAAAAAATGTATGCCTATTTTCAACCCAGTTGTGGTATATGAGTTATTCAGGTGACACATCCGACTTCATTGGGCATTTGTTCACCCAGTTAGCCTTCCAAATTTGTGTATCCTTATCTGATACAAAGTCCTTCTTTCAAACAGTGTCAAGGGATTATAAAAGTCAAAGAGTGGAGATAAAAATCTGTTTTAGAACATAAAGAAAAGAAAATCCATAGAAATGTTTACCTAAAATCACAATGAACAAAAAATAACGTAAAATCTCACAAACTGTGTATACTTTGGTTCGAGAATTATAAATGAATTAATCACTGCACTCAGGACAATCCCACATGTGCTCTGTCTCCTTTTCGTTCAGTAGCGAATGAAGCGTTCCCATGTTAACAGTGCCTGTTGCAATCTGATAAAAAGTCTGCCTATGTTCCCCCTCAGAGTTGAAAATCTTTCAAACCTCTGCCCATCCCAGCTGAATCAGTCTCTCATGGTATGGATACTTTGTCCATTCTGTCCAGCTGATTCTACAGAGCCTTGACTACACCGGCTTTACCATAAAGTAGCTCATCGCCTTCCAGAATTAACAACAGAAGTCAGAAGGAGTCTGGTCATAACGACACAAACATTAAAACAGCTTGACAAGCCTAGGGCACAATACCAACAAATAAAGGCAAAAGCTAGGAGAACATGTACCTTTCCAGCTGCAAAATATCAATGTCAGCCACGGACCATTTCACAACACAAAACAATCGGGGTGTGTACTTCATTTTGGTAACTATCTTTGATGCATACTGTACCATATTTAAGAGCAGGCGGGAGTTCCCTGATCCTGAGGATTTACAGCTGCGGGGCCAGTGCAGTGGCCATGAACTCTACAAGTTAGAAGTTTATTTTTGCCCCTGACTGAAAACACTTTCAGACTCTTGCAGAGGATTCTAACCCAGGCCTCCTACATGACAGCTTAGGGCTCTAACCACCTAGACAGCCCCTACTGTAGGTAAAATGGTTGCTTCGGACCAATGACTCCCTCACCTCAAAAGCTGCTCCAGGTACTCCACGGGGTAGTGTGCAACCTGGCGCACCTCCAGGGCAGGTAACATCAAATCCAGCCAAACTGAGAAAGAAGATGTCAAAACAATTATTCTAAATGTGGGTGACGCGAGGAAAGGAGAACAGCCAATCATATGTGACATATTCAGTGATCGGCATACATAAATAATGTCACAATCATACATGAAATATTCAGTAATTGGCATATATAAGTATTGTCACAATCATACATGAAATATGCTGTGGTTGGCAGTCACAAATAATGTTGCTCTTATTCATGACATTTGCTGTAGTAGGCATATACAAATAATCCATTTTAATATAGTCCATTTTATACATGACATATGCAGTGGTTGGCACATATAAATAATGTCCATTTTATACATGACATATGCAGTGGTTGGCACATATAAATAATGTCCATTTTATACATGACATATGCAGTGGTTGGCACATATAAATAATGTCCATTTTATACATGACATATGCAGTGGTTGGCACATATAAATAATGTCCATTTTATACATGACCTGTGCGGTGGTTGGCATATATAAATAATGTCACTTTTATATATGACATATTCTGTGGCTGGCATATATAAATAATGTCACTTTTATATATGACATATTCTGTGGCTGGCAGATATAAATAATGTCACAACCACACATGACATATTCAGTGGCTGACAGACATAAATAATGTCACAACCACACATGAAATATTCAGTGGTTGGCACACATAAATAATGTCTCAATCACACATGAAATATTCAGTGGTTGGCATATATAAATAATGTCACAACCACACATGACATATGACATATTCAGTGGTTGGCAGACATAAACAATGTCACAATCACACATGAAATATTCAGTGGTTGGCACACATAAATAATGTCACAATCACACATGAAATATTCAGTGGTTGGCACACATAAATAATGTCTCAATCACACATGAAATATTCAGTGGTTGGCAGATATAAATAATGTCACAATCACACATGACATATTCAGTGGCTGGCACACATAAATAATGTCACAATCACACATGACATATTCAGTGGCTGGCACACATAAATAATGTCACAATCACACATGACATATTCAGTGGCTGGCACACATAAATAATGTCACAATCACACATGACATATTCAGTGGCTGGCACACATAAATAATGTCACAATCACACATGACATATTCAGTGGCTGGCACACATAAATAATGTCACAATCACACATGACATATTCAGTGGTTGGCAGATATAAATAATGTCACAATCACACATGACATATTCAGTGGCTGGCACACATAAATAATGTCACAATCACACATGACATATTCAGTGGCTGGCACACATAAGTAATGTCACAATCACACATGACATATTCAGTGGTTGGCAGATATAAATAATGTCACAATCACACATGACATATTCAGTGGCTGGCACACATAAATAATGTCACAATCACACATGACATATTCAGTGGCTGGCACACATAAATAATGTCACAACCACACATGACATATTCAGTGGTTGGCACACACAAATAATGTCACAATCACAGATGACATATTCTGTGGTTGGCATATATAAATAATGTCACAACCACACATGACATATTCAGTGGTTGGCACACACAAATAATGTCACAATCACAGATGACATATTCTGTGGTTGGCATATATAAACAATGTCACAATCACACATGACATATTCTGTGGTTGGCATATATAAATAATGTCATGGATGTTGTCAGAAACAACTTCTTCTTCCCATTCACTGGCTGTAAACTCTGGCAGTCTCCACTTGGAAATGAAAGGCAGAGCAGAAGAGAATATAGATCTGCAAAATCACGGCCATCTCTAATTATAGGCCAAACAGGTCAACGGGGATTCCCGTTCTTGTGCAAGAATTGAATCCCTCTGTGTTAACAGTTTTTATCGAGGAGAAGTATATACAAATTATACTACAGTTTCATTAATTTGCAACATATTTTATAGAACTATATGCCAATTTTAAGGTAAATAAGTGTGCAATTAAAATATAACAATAAAGGCTATCACAAACAAACAAAAATGCTTTTGCTACAGTCAACATGAACATAAACAACAATAACATATAGATATAAACTGAAAGTTATTCCAGCAAAAGTAAAGAAATATTCGTATTAGTGCAAACTTTTTCTGAGAGCGTATTGTTGCATCAGAGGAGCCACGAAAAGGGGGGGGGGGGTGGTGGAAAGGGGTGACATTTGTACTTTATCAAATTTAGCGCATTAAAAATATTGATGTGAAACATACACATGTCATATATAACATAAATAAAAATGATTCATGTTTATTATTACTATTAGTAGACTACTACAACATATAATTATACTGTTATTTAATAATTAGTAAACAATAAGTCATTATGAAATCATTTTCCTTATCATTGTGAATTTTTTGGTAACTTTAAAAATACATCAAACATATTTCTGAATACTGCATGCAACAACGCGTATAAGTATCATGAATGGTATATTATTTTAAAGGTAATTAAAGAAAATTAAAGAAGACGATATAACTGCAAATGCTGTGCAACATACACATATCAAACACAAAAATTCCCCATACAGAGACCGGATCTCGTTTTTCAAAACAGTGTCTGGAACATGCTGAGGCCCAGAATTAAATGAACAACCAGAAGTTTTTGCCAGAGTTTACAGCCAGTGTTCGCGAAGCAAAAGCCAATTTACAAAAATTAACTTAGACCGTACAAATGCAAATATGCATAAAAAGTTGATGAACAACTAGAAGTTTCTGCCAGAGTTTACAGCCAGTGTTCGCGAAGCATAAGACGAATAGTTGAGGATTAGTGTACTTCTATAACATATAATTATACTGTTAGTCAACAATTAGTAAAGAGGCAAAGAGTGACTTTTTTAGTTAGTAAATTAAATATTATTTTCATCCACTTACCCAGAGCTCCGAAATATCTTGACACTATTTATCCACAGTGTAGTTGCACTATTTATGCACAGTCAGTATGAAAGCAATATCGTGTACATCCACTTCACAATATCCGCTTGTCGATTTGTAATACGAATACGTTCAGAACACAGAACTTCGTAAGCACATTAAAATGACACACGATGCAACACATGGAAAGGGCTTCCAGTAATCAGTTTCCGAGGGACTCCTTTCAAAAAGTGGGTCATTTAGTTGTTAGGCAAAATATAGAGATGACGTTGTGCAAAATCAGTGTATTTTAAAATCTGGATCTGACTGTTTTAGTATCATGTGGACAACCATGATTCATCACTGTGCCACAGACAAAGCTCCACCAATTCCCACAATAAGAATCTGATTTAATAAGAAACTGTTTTACCCTTTAATCCACTTTTGAAATTCTTGACTCCACACTGCCCCACCGCCCACAGGATCAGCAGACAATTGGAAGGCCGGTTCTGGTGTATCTTCAACAGCTCCAGGTACTGTGGATGTGCCAGATAATTTTTTTTTTTAAATATGAAATTAGAGAGAGAGAGAGAGAGAGAGAGAGAGAGAGAGAGAGGGCAAGAAAGAAGAATGTACAGGTTTAAAGAAAATGACTAGGGCAAGAAAGAAGAATGTACAGGTTTAAAGAAAATGACTAGGGCAAGAAAGAAGAATGTACAGGTTTAAAGAAAATGACTAGGGCAAGAAAGAAGAATGTACAGGTTTAAAGAAAATGACTAGGGCAAGAAAGAAGAATTTACAGGTTTAAAGAAAATGACTAGGGCAAGAAAGAAGAATGTACAGGTTTAAAGAAAATGACTAGGGCAAGAAAGAAGAATGTACAGGTTTAAAGAAAATGACAAGGGCAAGAAAGAAGAATGTACAGGTTTAAAGAAAATGACTAGGGCAAGAAAGAAGAATTTACAGGTTTAAAGAAAATGACTAGGGCAAGAAAGAAGAATGTGCAGGTTTAAAGAAAATGACTAGGGCAAGAAAGAAGAATGTCTGATATGCTAAATTGTGTACCTTAAAGGGGCATATAAACTTTACTGAGAATGACCCAAAGGGTTTTAACAATTTTTTCTTCTTCTTCTTCTTCATGTTAACCACCTGTAAACTCTGGCGGAAAGTTCTGGCTGTTCATCCACTTCTGGACTCTAGTCCTGTTCCAAAACCTGAGTATTCCATGCACATCCATTTTACAGATCTCATTTGTATGGCATACAGACTGTTATTTCCTTGCCTTTCAAAAAGATGCACTCCGAGGTCGAAGGAAGTTCCCAATTAGTAGACTCTTACGAGATGCCTTTCAGTAGGCAGTGGGTCTATTCTTATTTTCCCCCACAATAAGGCCCTGGAACTCCTAAGAGAACAACTGTATTTTAAGGGTTGATGATATTTTTGGATTCACTGCTGTGTGTTAGGTTCTTGACAAACAACCAACTGCTCCGCACAGAGACTTAGAGAGACTAAGCCACCTGCAATAAAACTCAGTGCAATGAAGTCAATCCTCTCATCTATTATTCAATGAAACAGTAAACTTTTGAAAACAGAAGGAACTGCAGTCAAATATCAAGTCTTAACTCTCCCATTTCTTATTCTCTTTTTCGTTCATCCGAGTGAAGTAACTGCGCTGTGCCTGTTTACAGCAAAGCTGCAATATTGCGCCTTTCGGCAGACACATCTGACTTCCTTTGGTATCTGTTCCTCAGGATAGCCTTTCTGTTTGGTTTTATGGGATGGATGTGGACTTACTGGTGTGTCCTCTCTGTCCCTTTATCTACAGGTGTTGCCTCCAGAGAGAACCCCTCAAGGTCAGGCAGGAGCAGATCATAGGCATTACTTGTCATCAATGGAGGCTTCCATAAATACAGAGCCAAAACATGATGCTCTGGTCTGTGCTCACCCGAAGAATCCTCACGTCCTGCAAATGACTGCTTAACCTCATCTCACATCTGTATGTTGAGCTTTCCACTTGTCATGGACTGTGCCCTACTGGGATCAACAGGGAGCAGTCCACAGGCCCAGGACTTTAAAGACCACACAGATAGGTACATTCTTCTACAGCATATTAAACACTCTTAACTATGTTTTATATACTCTCCCATTTGAGGAGTTAGTGTTTAGGATTCCAATTCTGCTGACTGATCATAGCTTGTATCTAGTGAATTCATTCAACAGTAAATTATGTACTGGGAAAAGCAGCTTTCACAAGTGTTCTCCACGCTCAGTCTCTGAAGGCTCAAATAGCTAGGTCATACTCAGAGATTGGAGGATTGTAGAGTCTCTAAGGATATCCTCTATGATGAATTAGAGATGAGTAAAAGATGCTGAGGCCGGCCTCTGCTACGATATAAAGATGTGTTCAAGAAGGACAGGAATGATACAGGTACTGAGGTAAATTTGTGGGAACAAAATGTCCTGGAACATGTTGTATGGAGGGGAAAATCAGGAAGGCAATGAGAATGAAGGAAACAATGACTGCAGTCAGGTTGAGAGCTGAGCGTTTGAGAAGAAGCATACTACATAAATATGATGGTAACAATGGTCCTGATATCCCATTTTCAAACTGTGGAAGACTTGTCTTAATGTCAGTGGGTCTGGCTAGTCAGAGTGGCCATCACCAGGCTATTTCCATAACACAATATAACGCTGCTGTCTGGAGAGAAACAAAGCTGGCAAAAAAGTATGCATGCAGACAAACTCAGCAAACCTGGCTGATTTTCCCGACGGCAGTATCTGGCTTGTGCTGTGCTAGTAACTGCAGGAAGATCTTGTAACCCAGCGTGGACTGATCTAAAATAGAGATGCACATAAAACTCAAAACTTGCTTCAATTTATCTAAGAATAAATACATTTTCCCAACACTCTAGACTTATATTTATAAAAACAGACAGGTGTCATTCATCTACATCAGTGGTTCACATTAGCCCAGACCTACAGACCCTTGCTATTATCAAAGTCTGCCTTGGACGCCAGACTTTTTAAATAGTCACCGTAAAGAATTCTTAATGTATAAATATCAGAACAGCAAAGGCATGGCATGATCAAGTTGAGGGGTACAGCATGATAAATTTGGGAATTGCATGATTCAAAGTTGAGTGGGATTGTATGATATAAAGTTGAGTGGGATTGCATGATATAAAGTTGAGTGGGATTGCATGATATAGTGGGATTGCATGATATAAAGTTGAGTGGGATTGTATGATGAAGTTGAGGGAGACTGTATGATAAAGTTGGGGATTGCATGATGTAAAACCGAGTGGGATTGTATGATGAAGTTGGGGGAATGCATGATAAAGTTGGGAATTGCATGATATCAAGTTGAGTGGGATTGTATGATAAAGTTGAGGGGGATTGCATGATGTAAAGTGGGACTGCATGATGAAGTTGAGGGAGACTGCATGAAAAAGTTGGGGATTACGTGACATAAAGTTGAGGGGGATTGCATGATAAAGTTGGGGATTGCATGATATAAAGTTAAGTGGGATTGCATGATGAAGTTGAGGGAGACTGCATGATAAAGTTCGGGATTGCATGATATAAAGTTGAGTGGGATTGCATGAAGTTGGGAACTGCATGATAAAGTTGGGGATTACATGATGTAAAGTTGATGGGGATTGCATGATAAAGTTGAGGGGGATTGCATGATAAAGTTGAGGGGGATTGCATGATAAAGTTCATGGAATTTCTTGTAAATGATACCACAGACCTCTTAAACTGATTCCCTAGACCCCCAGGGTCCGTGGATCACCAAACTGGGAACACTGACCCCCCACATCATACAGCAGGTCCTTTGCAAAATGTCATTTCCTCCCATTCCACTAGAAAGTCCTGTCCCCTTGTCGATTTCCCTGTTTTATATTTTCCCGCCCAAGGTGTCTCAAATGTCCTGTGCCCACCTTAGTGCATGTCCACTTCTGCCTCTAACTCCAGAAATTGGGCCTTCCATCATTGGACTCTCTAAACAACAGTTTAATGTGACCACAGATTTCCAGATCATGTTCTTCTTCTGTGTTCATCATGCCAGTCTACGAGACCATGGCTGTGATATCGGATGAAACGTCAGACTTCTGGTATCTGCTGAAACGTCAGACTTCTGGTATCTGCTGAAACATCAGACTTCTGGCATTTGCTGAAACATCAGACTTTTGGCATTTGCTGAAACATCAGACTTCTGGTATCTGCTGAAACATCAGACTTCTGGCATCTGCTAAAACATCAGACTTCTGGCATCTGTTGCCCAGGGTATCCTTAAGTTTCATGCTGTTTATGAGCCAACTTTTCGAATCTTCTAGCATATCAGTAGTTTTGTTCTTCCTGATTCACTTTAATATCCTTCCCCTCATTCCTTGACGCTCGTTAGTATTCTTTACTTTGTACACACATGCACAGACTGTCTCAATTATACATCCTCAAACCCAAACATACATCTTCTCCAGTACACATTTATTTACTCTCATACACTTTTCTCTTACTCACACAAACATTCACAAACAATTCAGAAACACATGATATTGCTGAAAACAGTAAAACAATAGAACAAACCTTTGGAAGAATCGACCAGGACCTTCTGAACAAAATGATAGAAAAGCTGGTCTAGTGTTTGGTTGGCAAACTTCTTCACAACCGAGTTCAAAACTTTCTGGCAGCCTGGAGACAGCAGCTGCAGAGGATACCCTGGGGAATACAAACTCACACTAAAAGTTTGTACTACTGGACTCTTCCTGTCTTCTTCTTCTTCTCCTTTCTTTACCTCATAAGGCAGGGAGTCATACAAAGAACCTGTCCTTTGCCAGTGCATGCAGCCAAACTACTCCATGGCCTCCCTAGCTCATCTTGTTGTTCCTAGCATTTACTGGCTACAAACTGTAAACTCTGGCAGGAAGGTCTGTTTGTTTGTCCATTTCTGGACTTTGGTCTTTTCCCAGAACTTACATTTTACTTGCGCAACTGTTTTAAAGATCTGGTTTATGTGTAGGCAGACTGTTGGTTCCTCACCTCTCAGGCAGATGCACTTCAACTCTAAAGGAAACACTGGTCAACTCCCCTGTGTGGGTTCCGGGGCCCCATTGTGGGGAAAACAAGAATAGACCCACTGCCTCCCCAAAAGCATGTTGTAAGAGTCAACTAATTGGGGAGCTTCCTTTGAAGACGGAGTGCGTCTGCCGGAGAGGCAAGGAACCAACAGTCTGTATTCAAGAGAATGAGATCTGTAAAACTGATGCACACGCAACACTCAGGTTCTGGAGCAGGACTGCAGTTCAGTAGTAGACGAGCAACCAGAACCTTCCGCCAGAGTTTACAGCTGGTGAACGCGAAGAAGAAGAAGAAGACTGGTCAACTTTTATGACATGTTTGTTAGGAGGCAGTGGATCTATTCTATTTTAACCCCCCCCCCCCCCAAGCATGGAACCCACATGGAAACACTTGCTTGGCCGTCATTCTGTCACTTTCCACACACACATTCTTACTTACTTAGTCGCTCCTCTTCTAGCTTGGGGTGTAGAGGTTTGCCAGAGATATTACCAGACTTCTCTATCAGCACTTTTCTTTCTGGCTTTGTTTCAGTCCAGCCCTTTGTCAGTCAGGGACTGTTGGATGTTGTCTTCCCAGTGATCCCTAGGTCACCCACAGACACATTCACCAATACATTCTACATCTATCTATGGCATTTTAGTTGGTTTGTCTTGTGAAGAGGATTCAAGATGCTACTTCAGTTATGTTCTATTATTTAATAATATCACTGAGCTGGGGTATTTCTTCTATTACTGTTCAAGCTTTAAAGGGCAGCTGATATGATGTGTTGCGGTTTACAGCTAGGCTGCATACATCTTTTGGCTCAGGAATCTAATTGTAACAAACCCTTCACAACATGTTTGTTGAAGGGCATCTTTGTTCTAAATGAACTAGTATTACTATTCCTTTAGAGTAAATAAACAAGGCAGACCACGGGAGGGACTGAACTCACACATGCCGGTCTACAAGACCATGGGAGGGACTGAACTCACACATGCCGGTCTACAAGACCATGGGAGGGACTGAACTCACACATGCCGGTCTACAAGACCATGGAAGGGACTGAACTCACACATGCCGGTCTACAAGACCATGGGAGGGACTGAACTCACACATGCCGGTCTACAAGACCATGGGAGGGACTGAACTCACACATGCCGGTCTACAAGACCATGGGAGGGACTGAACTCACACATGCCGGTCTACAAGACCATGGGAGGGACTGAACTCACACATGCCGGTCTACAAGACCATGGGAGGGACTGAACTCACACATGCCGGTCTACAAGACCATGGGAGGGACTGAACTCACACATGCCGGTCTACAAGACCATGGGAGGGACTGAACTCACACATGCCGGTCTACAAGACCATGGGAGGGACTGAACTCACACATGCCGGTCTACAAGACCATGGCTGTGATATCTGCTGAAACGTCAGACTTTTGGCATTTGCTGAAACATCAGACTTTTGGCATTTGCTGAAACATCAGACTTTTGGCATTTGCTGAAACATCAGACTTTTGGCATTTGCTGAAACATCAGACTTTTGGCATTTGCTGAAACATCAGACTTTTGGCATTTGCTGAAACATCAGACTTTTGGCATTTGCTGAAACATCAGACTTTTGGCATTTGCTGAAACATCAGATTTCTGACATTTGCTGAAACATCAGACTTTTGGCATTTGCTGAAACATCAGACTTTTGGCATTTGCTGAAACATCAGACTTTTGGCATTTGCTGAAACATCAGATTTCTGACATCTGCTGAAACATAAGACTTCTTGCATCTGTTAAAACAGCAGACTTCTGGCATCTGCTAAAACATCAGACTTCTGGCATCTGCTGAAACATCATATTGTATTGGCAATACATGGTCTCTTCAATACTGCCTGCGTTTTTGCTATGGAAAGACATGCTGTGTTTCCCATGTCTTCCTATAGACAAATAAAACATGTCTAGAAAGACATGCTGTGATTTCCATGTCTTCCTATAGACAAATAAATCATGTCTGGAAAGACAAGATGTGATTCCCATGTCTTCCTATAGACAAATAAAACAATCACATCTAGAAAGACAAGCTGTGATTCCCATGTCTTCCTATAGACAAATAAATCATGTCTAGAAAGACAAGCTGTGATTCCCATGTCTTCCTATAGACAAATAAATCATGTCTAGAAAGACAAGCTGTGATTTCCATGTCTTCCTATAGACAAATAAATCATGTCTAGAAAGACATGCTGTGATTTCCATGTCTTCCTATAGACAAATAAATCCTGTCTAGAAAGACAAGCTGTGATTCCCATGTCTTCCTATAGACAAATAAATCATGTCTAGAAAGACAAGCTGTGATTCCCATGTCTTCCTATAGACAAATAAATCATGTCTAGAAAGACAAGCTGTGATTCCCATGTCTTCCTATAGACAAATAAATCATGTCTAGAAAGACATGCTGTGATTTCCATGTCTTCCTATAGACAAATAAATCATGTCTAGAAAGACAAGCTGTGATTTCCATGTCTTCCTATAGACAAATAAATCATGTCTAGAAAGACAAGCTGTGATTCCCATGTCTTCCTATAGACAAATAAATCATGTCTAGAAAGACAAGCTGTGATTCCCATGTCTTCCTATAGACAAATAAATCATGTCTAGAAAGACATGCTGTGATTCCCATGTCTTCCTATAGACAAATAAAACAATCATGTCTAGAAAGACATGCTGTGATTCCCATGTCTTCCTATAGACAAATAAAACAATCACGTCTAGAAAGACATG